CCGGTCCCGGTGGCCCGGTCCGGTCTGGTGGCCCGGTCCGGTCTGGTGGCCCGGTCGGTCCCAGTGGCCCGGTCCCGGTGGCCCGGTCCCGGCCCGCTTTAAGGGCGCGTGCCCGCGGGCCCGCGCGAAAAAAGACCTATTCTGAGCTGGGCATGGCCCACTCGCCCAGAGCAGATCCCCAATTTGTGCATGTAGTTTGAAATCAAGGGGGGAGCAAAACCTAGCCACCAACCACGTTCCCTTCAAGGCAAGGCCTACATAAACTCTTCCTATTTTGTAGATCCTCGCATGAAGACACGCAACCGCACCTACTCTCCAAAATCTTAACACGCCTGGCACAATGACTCCCTCTTGGCCGAAGAAGATACTTTGAAATCTTTGAGGCCTCGATGGAAGTATTTCAAAGACCTGGAGGATGTCTCCGGCTTCCTTCCACAATGCGGCAGTCTCCTTGACGAAAAAGAACCACTTAAAGTCCCGAGGCAATATGGTAGCTTCCCAAATTCGGGGGAACCCCATGTAGACCTCAATATACTGAAAAATCCTTGAACCAGATCGCGTTGAGAAATCATCAGCACGAGCATCTGTGCCGTTTCAAGGCCTTGAAATTCTCGAGGAAAGATGGGGGGTTCCCCAAATCAGGGAGTACCATTTTGGGATCCCAATAATACGCACAGCAGTTGAGGTCCATATTGAGGTCTATATTGGGGTCCCCATCTTATGGGAGATTACCATTTCTTACAAGTCGCGCAAAAGTTGGCATAAGTCCTTCATGGTCTTTCGCCCTGCGCTGGATTTGGAGACTGCTGGCATCTCCTCCAGCTTCCTCGTCACCTGCTATGTGAAGGATGTGACTCAAAGGGAGGCATCTGGGGACACTCAGAACTTCCTAGTGGAAGTAGGGAATTTAGTACACAGGGCTTATGGGACTATATTCCCTTGCTTCTTCCTACTAACCCCCAGTAAGAAAATGCAGCAACGTGACGTCAAGAGCCATGGTCTTCAGACCAGCAATCCCTTCATTCACGATGGCAGCATCCGCAGCCTCATGGCTTTCGCCGCCAACTGCCTTACAAACTCCCCCAAACCCTAAATAGCAGTTTCCATTTCATTTTCCAATTTGGTTCTTAATTAAAACATAATAGCAGTTTCCATTTCATTCTCCATTTGAGTTTCCATTGATTTTCCATTCTTACTACCCCAGCCTTGCATTTTTGCTGGGAGCCAAACGGGGCCAGGCTGGACATCTCGTCGTCAGCCTTCTTGCAGAAGGCCACAGGCCCACACATGTCACTTTCCTGGGTTGCTGTTAAG